TTAACAATCAGTAGCTCGTTTACTCCTCTACAAACTTTGCTCGAGACGCTTTTTATTAGCTCTTCTAAATTCGTAGCAAATTAGCTTTTAACGAGACGCACTTCGAATTTAGGGCCTTTTTTTGTCATAGCGTCACGCGCCGAAAAACGCTTCTAAAAGTTTGAGTCCTTAACCACATACCTTCATTTTTATATCAAAAGTAGAGTATGGCGAGCTGCGTCGAACGGCGCAAGGACGACGGTTCTAGCTTATACACTTTTTGAGGAAAGCTCAAATTACTGTGTCAAAATTGTCACAGCGTCACGCTTGGACAAGCCGATTTATAGTAATAACTATGAGTTAAATCACGATTATCTTTTTAATTGTGATTAGTGCGGTTAAACACAATTCTGTTCATCATGATTAAATATCGTTAATCATATCCAAAAAAATTGCGGTAGCACTAGAAAATGCTTAATCACGATTAAAGATAATCGTAGTTATTTGCGTAGTGCAACCGTCGTGCAAGAGAGATTCTATTGTATCGGTCGATTAATTGAGCTTAAATGAAACATTATACTATGGACTATCATTGAATATTTAACTCATTTTAATTCATTATAAATAAAAAGAGCAAATTCATTTCTTAACTTTTCGAATATCAACAGATTCGGTTGATGAAACTACTCGAAATATCACGGATTAGAGTTCCAACAACTTTTTAAGAATATTTTAACAACAATTGAATTTCTTAGTTCAAATGCGAAAAAACGTCTTTCTTTGACCTCCGGTCGCTGTGCTACTACTTTTATAGAAGTTACGCCATGATGCATGAATCTTAGTCCAGTACTGGCTTCACTCAAGACCTCCTTGTTTTGCTTTTTTATTTTTTCTTGAATTTTATCGCCTCTTCCAGCCACTGGATTAAATGATACAGTATTTTTAAGATCCATTTTTGTATTGATCAGCGATAGTGATGTAATCGTTTCATTACATAAATTCCAGCATTTTTTGACTGTTCGAGTTTTATTAAAACAATCCTTTTTTTCTATTTTTCGCGAGGCCGACAGAACAAACAATTAGCCCACTTAACCCGTATTCCATTGCTCTTATTTTCAAATCTTTCATAGAAATCTGAGATATTATACTAACCTCACAACTTTTTTGTTGATATTGAGAGTGCCTTCCAGATTCTTGTAATCGTTTCTCTCCTGGTTCAATGTGTGTATTCACAAAGTGTAAATATTTGCATTATTTTTCAGCAATTAAATTTCTACTAGTCCATATTCCGAGAACTGTCTCTCGAGCATCCCCCCCTATAAAGACTTTTTTTCTAATTGTCTCCAATGGACTTAACACTTTTTTTATAGCAGGCTTTTAGCGTTTAGTGCTTTTTCTTATGTGACAATCAGTCTGCATGCGGAATATACCTGACGATGCGAGTAGACACAACATATTCATCTATTATGCGTTTTTAAAAAGATCCCTGAGCAAAATGCTAATAAGTTTTTAACGAAAACAGCTAGAGACCCGCGGTTTTCAGATTCTTAAACTAGACACTTTGGGACGTAAACCTATGAAAAAGCCAGGGCTCCCGATGTACCATGATGTACCATTCGAGACAAAATCTGAATGCTTACCGTTCCCAAACTACACTATGAAATCTAATCTCAAATAATACCAGTCAATAGCCAGGATATCACTCCCTAAAACCACACAAGGCCCAGACCTTCGTCTCGTTTGGTTCCAGACATACAAACGATTTCCGAGGACCCAAAAGTGTCTAGTTTAAGAATCCTAAAACCGCGGGTCTCTAGCTGTTTTCGTTAAAAAGTTATTAGCATTTTGCTCAGGGATCTTCTTTTTAAAAACGCATAATAGATGTTATACAAACTGTTTTTTTACATGTGAATTATTGTTGGACAGGCGCACGAAATAGAATTTTAAGTAGATTATTGGCTGTAGAATTGAAAATTAGAATGAATACAGATTTAACGTGTATTCATTTTCATTCTGTGATTTTAAATAACTGTGTAAATGAAAAATATGGACATATGAGTAAAAAAGTATTCTTACGTAAGATTACGTTTAACTTGATCATTTATTGTTTTTGTGTAACGACAGATATTTCTGTTAAATTTACATTTTGAGATAGTAGTACCAGAAAAAAGAATAACAGAAATAGTCGACAGAAAAAAAATATATAAACACAAACCTGTAATTCTTAATGACGATGTACGACAAATGTGGTTTGTCTCGTCCTCTTTGAAGAAAAAAGATTTCTTAGGTCCTCCTTTATTTTTATTTTAATTGGCATCCCTTATCTTGATTGTATGCAACAGAACTTTTTATAAAGAGAAATACTGGACTTTGTCTTTGATTATCAACATATTTATATTAATATTGTGAGTAAATGACATAATAATTACAAAAAATAAATACTAACAGCAACAAATAAATATACAGGTAATTAACTTCTGCGTTGCACTCTAAAAAATAATGTGTCGCAAGAGGAAGAGGAAATATGTGCCGCACATTAATGTGTCGTAAACGAGTGTCATCATATATCATTATCTGATATCTACGATTTCACGTGCATAAGCGCTTTGGATACGATCAAACTCGAAAAGCAGAGCTCTTAGAGATTGTTAAGCAAGATATTGAGACTCAGGATATCGAACTTCTCTTCAGAAAGAGAACTCTTTTTCTAAAAAAACACTTGAAAATAAGCGAAATTATGAATTTTAGATGACTTTGACTATATGTCGCCGTTTACGACAAATCCGACATGCTATCGTTTAGAGGATAAAATAACTTCACTGGAATAATTCCAGAGTAATTCGCATGAGATAGAGGACATCCGTCTTGATATGCGCCACCTATACCCCACCATGACGGAAATGAGATTTTATTATTCTGAAGTGCAAAAAAGATAATTATAGCACAAATAGCCACACCACTATCCATTGCCTAAAAGAGAAGGGAAATATAAGTACCGTAAACTTCGCTTCGCAAAACAACGCAAGTCAACATACCGCTGAGAACACATATGCATATCTGTGCCACCAACCATGTGCATATTTCCGTAATACAAAATTAAATATAAAGCCAACCAGTAACCATGACGGATAGTTGCCTCTAAAATAGACAAAGAAACGTCAATTGTCCATATACATTTTCAAGATTACCTTGACTCAAGTTTCATCTATGGGTGTACTCATAGAAGCCAATAACATATGGGGTTCCCTACAACTATTTATGACATAGCCTTTACTTTTCTTTTCTTTTGTCTAAGGCTAATAATATTCTTATTTTTCGTTTTATCTGAGACAGTCTTTCCTAGTTTTCTATTCAGATAGTAGTTACATTGTTGTTCAATTTCAAAAAAAAAATCAACCAAATCAGGCAGCAAAATTGACTTTAACAGCGCGCTTTAAGTAGATGAGTACAATGTCTTCAATTATGAGCCACAATCTATTTGATGAAACTGTTTCGAAAATTTCAACAGCTATTCATCACTAAAATTTTATACGGAATACAGGAAGAACTGATCAAAAAGCAAAACACAAATCATACCACGTCGCATCTATGTTGTTCCTTACTCTTATAATATTTAAATTTAGCTATTTAAATTTAGAATTATTTTTCTACGCCTCCCAAATGCGACTAAACTAGTAGTCATAGAGTTTAACTTTTTTTCAAAGAAATTGTTAGATTAATGATGATGTAATCCGTTCATTTTTCTGTGACGCTTTATCTACATATCAACTTGAGCAGAAAGAGATCAAATGCTAATTTTTTTAAAAATATCCTTGAACCGTGAGCAACTAAACTAAACATTTGTGACAACCAACTTTACTTCAATTTAATGCAATAGAACGCGAAACTAATTTAGAGGAAATGTGGTTAAAACAATCTACATCGTCTTCGAGAAATTTTCTGCTAGAACCTCCAAAAAATGTACAAACAGTAAGAAAAGAATTACTTTTACACAAGCATTCATGAGCTTATTTTGTTCATAATACTCTCCCTCATAAGAAACATCAATCAAATGCTTCAGTAATACTTAGCTTTAAAAAATTGTTTTTTCGAACCTTTCAAGGAAAACAAAAGGTGTTTTCCTTGAAAGGTTTGAAAACAACATATTGTACGTAGCATACATAGAGTCTTTTCTAATGATCAGAAAAATCGGTCATGCAAAAACCGATTCATTGCTTACGGTGGTGCAGGAGGCATCATTGACGTTGCTGTTAACATAATTGGAAAATGAACATGCTTTAACCATTTTTGTTTTGGAAATTGTTTCATTAGAAGCCAAAATATTACGGGCAAGAAAGCACCAATCAAAAATAAATACAGTAAACTTCCATAAAGCGAACCTTTTCCAAACATTTTTATTGGTCCTATAAAGACAAAGTTGTGATGACTGATTTAATTTAAACCGTTAATCAAACTTACCTATTGCACCCCAGATGATGCTCGCCGAAAAAAATGTATTGGCATTCGGACATGTCCAGTCCACATTTTTATCGGTACAAATGTCTGGTATTATACTCATTAAATAATTTGCTGTTGCATAGTTAATAACGCCAGCAATAATTGTCCCGATAAGTTGTGTGATAAACATAGCTCTCGGCGGTATCTTCATATAGTGTCCAAGTTTCAAATCAGAAATAAGCAAAAGTGCTTGATACTGAGTGATGTAACCATACGTTTTGAACGTAACATTTCCTAATGGATTTCCTTTCATACATACACCAGCAACAAATTCGGTGATGACATTCAGCCCAATTGACTGATTCGTAATCGCTTGAACAATACCCGTTGGTAGCAAGAAAAAGAAGGAGATAGCTACAGCTACAAAAAGATAATACCACGGCATCAACTTGCCAACATGACAAACAATAGCAGCGATAATAAAACTAACAACAAACAATATTGAATACCACCATTCTGGTGCTTCTGGATATCTTGCCATTAATTTTGCATGAATATCACTTTGGTCAGACAAAGATGTTTTAAATTGTTTTATGATCTGTGGGCCATGATACAAAATTGTGTGAACAATGACAGCCGTAATGGCTGCAAAAGAAACACCATATGACATGGCAAATATCGCTGTCATTCGAATGTGTCCATATTGTTCATACGCTGTTTCATTTAGTCTTGTTTCCTTATTGAGAACAGCATGAATGTCGTATACATATCCGTCTGGTGTAAATATTTTATTCGAAACGATTGGTAATGCTTGTGATCCCCATAAATTTAAATAATAGGAAATTGGGGTAAAGATCCAAGCAAGTGTCACAAATCCAACGAGAATATTCAATTGAGCCCAAAACGGTACGACAATTGGTGACGATAGAAAAGCAACAATGGCATTCCAATCAAAGTCAATTGATCCTATTCCTAGACCACTATTCCCCGTTAATTGTGCGACAACTATATTCTTTGGTTTAATCATACAGATCCATGAAAATGCTGCTAATAGCGGAAATATATAACCGGGAAACCAATAGTAGAGAAATTGACAACCAAATGCAATAAAGAAAAATTTTAAACGAGACATTTTCCACTTGCTTGGCTTTTCCTTTTCCTTTTCGTCGGCCGTTTCATGTAATGTACGAAACAGAGCACAACTGACCAAATTACTTGGCCAAATCATCGCACTCGGCCAGACTAAGAAACGTCGCATAATACCTAAACAAAAGAAGTAATTAGATTTTTTTCCTGATTGTCTCATACTTACCGGCAAAACTGTAGCCGAGAATTTGCGAAGTGATGATAAAAAGTATAGCAATTCCGAAATTCATCGTTCTATTATAAAATAAACGTTCGATTGTTATAACATCAATAGCATATGCTGTACCCTGTCAAATAAAGTTCGCAAACTATTTTTCAATTAATATTACACGAAGAAAGTTGTCCATCCTTACCCACCCATGCAGCGTTGGCCATTGCTGTTATCAATGTGTGCTCTTTAATGCTGAACGGTCCAGGATTTAACGTCAAATTCCATTTCCACACTTTAACAGATTTTTTTGGTAAAATACGCGCCATTAGTTTACCCACCGGATGTGATAACAGTTGCACAACAAGAACACCAATTGTTAAAGGATTTGTTCTATACCAAAAGAACTGATTAATAAATGATAATAAACACGTGAAACCCAGACCCAAAAACCATGTACGAAATGTTAAACATGGCAGAGTTGTATCATCAGAGTTCGGTACAACAGCGGCAACTTCTTCATAAGGACTTTGTTCTGTATCGCTAATGTCATTCAAAACGTTAAACTGATCACTCGATGCGTTTGATTCTAATCTGTTTGATTCTAATCTGTTTAGTTCTATATCAGGTTCGAAATTCTTCTTCGTTTGTTCGTCGAACGTTACATCTGGTATTGTTTCAACTGGCGGTGTTTCAACATCATCTTCTGGATATGACAGGTTCACATAACTAAAATCAGTCGTATTTTCATCATCTGCTAACTTATCAATCTCATGCAACGATGAATGAACCGAATCATCGCGCTTTGTTGTCATTCGTTTGAATAAATTAGACTAAAATAAAATGATCGATTCCCATGTTAAAAGCTAACTAAACATCTTCTCAAAATAGCATACTCTAAATCGAGTATAAAAGGGCGCTGTGCTTAAACTGTCTACTCTCAAAATGTAATTATAAATATCAAACGAGCTAACATTACTAGTAGTTTTTAGAATGTAGCCTTGTTGTCATCCTTGTGCGCAATAGTCATTCACTATATCCTGTCCTTCGTTGTAATCATTACGAAGGTCGAAACAAACATAGTTTCACAACAACATAACATCGATGATTTTATTGCTCATCTTCAATCTCAGTAAAAGTCGTTTGCAAGAAATTTCTGTTACTGTCCAAACATGAGTTGTTAGCCTAGTGAAACAAATCAACATACACGTCCAAAATAAGATATTAAAAATATGCTTGACACAACTATGGCTGTATCAGACGATATAATATACTATATATATTGAAAGAAGTTGAAGAGACGGCAAATTATCAACTCATTGTGTTTTGTCAGGCATGACCGTCAAAAGGCGATAGAATATGTTTGAACATAGTGAGATTTTTTCTCGAAAATTTTGCAGTCTTTTGTTAAACAAATTTAGGTTGGTATTCAGTTACATTTTTTGACGTTGTAAACAAATTTCATTACACATACAGCAGATATTTTACTACCCTTTGGCGTCTATCGAAATAACAGTTGCACATATTTTTGAAGAAAAATGTATATGAAGCCCAATTTATAATTTGTTTTTCGTTTATTGTGATTGATGAGAGAAATTCATCAATTAGTCAAGTACAGTATAAATACTGTTAGCTTTATACGAACGAAATAGATATGTATTTTTTATTATATTTTTAATTTATTTCCACTTCCTGACAGACGTCTATACTAGGTGCCTTCTCGTTTTGCAGACTTTTTTCGAAAAGTCGGCGAAACAAGAATATGACTTCAAAGAATGTCAAAAGCGGAAGGGCGGTGTGAGAGTGAGTCAGCTAAACGAGAACTAATTCTTTACTGTCGTCTTCTATATTTTCGTAAAATATTCTATAATAAAAGTCCTCTCTCATCTTTTGATTTGATCTCACCGCTAACTACACGTCAAAGTTCTCGATTAAGACATAATAATAGCGTTTTCATTCCTCGTCTCAAGCTGAAATCTGCATCCGATCGGGGTATGTTAAGAGATCATTTAGGCTTCAATAATTTTTATGTTGAGATCTATTCTTTCTCTTAAAATGTATCACACTTCGGTTTTCTCTTACAATGTATGTGTTATAGTAGCGATTCTTTTTAGAAACTTTTTAGTTTAGGTTATCATGAGGTGTCTCCAGATGCTACAAGTCTTTTTGGCGCTTTTTTGTGATATCCTGCCCTTGAGTAAAATAAATCTATCTATCTGTTTAAAAGAACCAGCCCCTTGTTCTGTCCATAAATACATCTTTTCATACGCTTTGTACAGAGTTATTTTCTATCCTTTCATATAATCCGCTTGTTAATTGATTTAAAAAACGACTGCGCAGTACTCTGTCGAGAAATTACCCTGTCTCGCACCTATAGCGAAGCTATAGTTCGAGCCCGGTTAAGCTTTTAGTATATTTGATCTTTTAAAACCACATCACTTCGAGAAATAAAAAAAGTTTGTAAGAGGCACTATCTATCAACGAATTATCCGATCAATGTACTTCTTTTGCACTTTATGTTTGTTATAGTGTGTAGATGTGCCCTATTATGAATTTTGTAAAAAAAGAACAAATTTCGATTATTGGCGGGGTGGTTACCCCCTCTGTGAGCACTGCTAAGACCAACAGATCTAACTTTCAGCGAGACAGGGACGGATCTACCTAGATCTTTTTTTCTGAGCTTCTTGATCAGATATGCGATAATTAATGATGTGACAGTCATCGACAAAAAACATGCGTCCGTTCGTAAATTATCAGGCTACTGATGAATCATTATAAAATCGTCTTGGTACAAAATTTCTATAGACAAGGAAGTACAGAAATTATGAAAATTGTTATTAGAGCCTACTATACATCGGATGTTACAAACATAAAAAATAAATTCAACTTTGTACTCTTACAAACACATGTTGGATATATTTACTAACATTTTTTTACGTTGCAATACCGTAGTCTTTTTTGGTTTTCTGCTTATTTTACTTATCTTTTTATTTTGGGTAACAGTATCTGTGTGTAAGAAATCGAAACAAAACTATCAGAAAATATTTCAACAAGTATTGATTCAAAAGATACTTTACCAGGAATTCTTAACCAACAGTAGAAACGAATCGTAGAATTTAACTTTTGAGAGAGAAGAATGTCTACAAACTTTTTATTGTGCAGAGAAACTGGAAAAATAACTATCAGAGTTGATAGAGTTAGTTTACCAGACTGGAAGAAGTTTAATTCTTGTAATACTGACGTGGTAGGCATGCACCGGTGCCGGCTATTAACTGACAACAGTGGACCGGTTGAACGATTCACTGTCTGTCAATTAGAAGAATGGCCACGGCCATTTTTTGAATAACTCAACAACAAGAGATAGAGATCTGCACTTTTCATCATTGTGTAGGAAAGACTTTGTATCTTTTTGCAAGAGAAAATATTTTCACATTATCTCATCTATTCTATGTGATTGACTTTCCATAGCGTTTAAATGTTGGAAAAAATACCGAGGTTTTTGCAAAGGTTTTCCAGAAATCTTCAAACAGTCTGAATACTTTTCATTCATTGTCCACTGTTTAATTGATTTTGAGTGAGTTATGAGTTTTCTAGTTTCATACAAACAGTCAAAACTGACCTTTTCTCAACAGATCTAACTTTTTACTAGATTTTTGAATTTTTGCTAAACACTGCAATAGCAAGATCTTCCTTAACACCCGTGCTAACGAGGACACTTATACATATAAAAAAATGAATATATTATTTAAAATCTTGGGGCTATAAGTTTTTCAAAGATCTCCTAAAAAACCTGCTGCAAAAAACAAGTTTGAAAATACTTTCGCTTGCAAAACGATAATCTAAATTCTTGGCTATACAACGGCGAAAAATGTTTCTATCCCTTTTTGTTTTTGAGTTATTCAAAAAATTGCCACGGCCATTCTTTTAATTACTAACTAGTTACTTGAAGAGCATAGCTGCCACCTTGTCCGGACTTTTTAGACAAATTCCAGTTTTTTGACTTTTTTCCGAAATTTGTCCGGTTTCTGAGAATTTTCTACTTTGGCTGTTTTTCCCTAATCATGAAAATTTTTAAGTGTTTTTGGTCGATTAAAATAGAAATTTATATTTATGTTTGTTATTTTGTATTTTATCGAGTAAAATCATGTTGAACTAGAGAAGAAACCTTTTTTGGCGCTGCGCAATAAAAAAAGGTTAAATAAGACAGTGGAAATGAGTTTCCGTTTTTTTGCAAATTTTAGGATTATGATTCCGGATTTCTGACTTATACAGGTGGTAGCTCTGTTGAAGAGCTTAAAATTTCGCTTCTTCCATACGCAGCTTCCGAGGCTTTTCACGGACAAACACCTTCGATGGAAGACTTGGAGAATCAAACATTTGTGCAAAATTTTTGCATACTACAATAAGTAGACTCGCACTAGTACTCGACAAAAATTTTATTATTCTGCTCCGAAAATGATAATATAAAGAGAAATTTGTGCATGAAAAGATCTAGTATTTCACGCATCCTAATATGCTGATGCTTTTCCTATTATCCACTGTCTATTACATTGTCATAATGCCAAATTTGTACGATAATATTCAAGTTCTTGGAAAAGTTATTTAGAATTAGGTATCAGAAAATTTTAAATCATTCTTACCATCATTTTTTGCGTCCAACGATTATTTTACTCTTCTGCACGTGGTCTGGCTTTTTTTTTTTTTTCGACGGCTATAATAATAGACCTATACATTTTTTGATCGAAAAGAAAAAAGGAAAAGAAAATCGGGTATCCCTCTTTATAGTCTACAGAATCGGAAGGAAAGAGTTTTCATATTTCACAGTCTATATATATTTTTTCTGATGAGACAAAATTCCTTTTTTTTAATAAGCTCGTTTCTCTAATTTTCTTTGACGTATACGTTCACGTTAGCCTGTTATACAGTTCAAAATGGAGTTTATATACTTTTGACAAAATAATCTAATTATTTTACTAAAGATTATTTTTTTGATCAAACTAGATGATGTGACTTATTAGATCCGTCATGAAATTTGCTGGGTTTTTAATGATTTCGGTTTTTATCCTTTTTTCTCATTATTATTATCGTTGGTATCGTATATCTATACCTATACCTCTTCTATTCATGTTAATGACAGTGAAAAGAGAACGACTCTAGTTCGCCGAAACAAATTGACTGTTATTTTCTCCTCTTTCTTTAAACTCATTTAACAACTTGTTATTGAAAAAAGAAAAGCATGTTTAAAATGAGAGAAACAATTTAATTCATAAGAAAAGCCACTTAAAAATTTGAAGAAGCCAGTATACATCATAAGACGATTGTATGGGATAAAAGAACAAGTAATCGTCAATATTACTATAGAACCAGTAATAGTTCAATCTTAAGAACCTGTTTTCCTTGGAAACATGTTACCAGTTTTAGGTCTCCAACTAAAATATATCCTCTCCATTGTGGTACTATGATCATAACAAAAATAGAAATTAATTTTATATAAGTAGAATGTGTCTTGTTTTATTCATTTATTTCGTTCGCCTTTTTAACTACTCAAATTTGTATTTTGAGAATAATTTTAATTGTTTTCTAAATTAGTCGATATCCGTAGAAAATATTTCATCTTTATTGTTTATCTAAATTAGAATAGAAAATGAGATAACTTTAAGAACAGTTTGTCAACAATTATTTTGCAAAAAAATCTATCTGAAACCAGTCAAAAAAAATTTGTCCTTTTTCGACAAAATAAAACTTTTAGTTATAAAATAAGAAACAGCTATACTTTATCTACGAGCATACATACACAATTGCACTAGACAATGAACAATATTCTACAAATATATTGATGACACAATAAAAAAAGAAACTGAAACATTTACGAAACGAAGAAGTAAAAGAGCAACGTCTATGTACAGACACACTGTGCATAGTAGAGAAACACACTTTGTATAAGTACTTTCATCGTTTCATAGATACTAACCAAAAAAAAAAAAACATTCTCGCCGAACGCTTCATTTAACCGTTACAAATTGGAATATTTTTTACTTTTCTTTACTTCAATACATAATTACTCTGGTACACAAACGTACCGCCTATTTTTAAAAGGTTAAGCGAAATTTCCTACTTTGAAAAAATTACAATGAAAATCAATAGTTAAGATGGAGATGATTCGGATAGAGAAGATGACGATGATAGTTTTCTTATTTGTTGTAAACCGCTTCCGAATGATTGTTGCAATTTAGGAGGAGAGGGCGATGTGTCACCATTATTTGTATTATTCGATGTGAAAACAGTTGGTGTGACTTCTTTTGTTGTAGCTTCAATGTCTGTTACCATTGATGTGGGTTCGTATATTGATTCTTTTTGATACTGCTGTTGCTGCTGCTGCTGTTGTTGTTGTTGTTCACCAGCTGAGATTAAAGACGAGGATGATGAAGATTGTGTGAGTGTTTTTCCCATTGTTTCATCAATTTTATAAATTTTTTTCAACGTTCTTTCAAGGTGTCGTTGAATCATATCTGATTGATCCGATGTGCAATAGCCATCATCGGCAGAACTAAAGAGGAACAGAAATAAAGAAAATCAGTAATGGCGAAGATTTCTCAAATCTTACCGATCAACAGTTATTAATACTGGAGGTTTTTTAACGGACTGAAGTATTTTTGTCATTGAATCAAGTAGATAGAGTACCATTTCTTCTGACGATACATGATAGGCAGGTCGTACATCGGACAAATTCATGCCGTAGTTGTGTATAAGATGCCAATCAAGTTTTTTATATCGAATAATATTGAGCAATGCTGCTAAATAGGCATTTCTAAAAAAATAAGCTCGCTTACGAAAATTCAATTTCAAAAAGGTCTCATGTCTTATAACCAACAATGAGCCCTTCACCGCCGACTTGGTGAAAATGAACTGACTACTTACTCTACCCTAATTGGTTCTTCAGGTTTAACAGCTATATATTCCTCCATTGTTGTTTTTATTTGTTCCATTGCAACTTCTCTCGTTTGCATATAACGTATTATTTCATCATCATTCAAATCTTGAACAATTCGTGTATAAACTGCACGCAATACTTCGTATTCATTTTCATCTAATAATTTCCGTACTGGATCATCCGTTGAGAAAAATGTTAAATCAATATCAAGTAAGAATGGTTTCCCTGTTAATAGATCATTTAATAAATTTGCATCTAAAGCATGAACACGTTTTCGAGAAGGTATAATTTTTGTTGCTGTCTCATTATTTTCTGTGGACGCTGTTGTATTGTTATTATTACTATCAGAATTATTTGCTTCTAATTTTACTTTTTTTCGTTGTGTACTATCATTTGTATCGGTTGTATCTAAACTTTCTGAATCACTATCTTTGACATATGTTGGTGATAATGGTTTATCAACAACAGTAAAATTTTCAGCTAAACCAGCCGTTGTGATGTATAGATCGACTTGATGTAAGTTATCGAGTTTATCAGAAGATAAATAAACACAATTTGAAGTAAAATAAGGATTTGTCGATGATATTCTAAAACATAATCATTTAAAGTCCTGCAATAATCGTATGGAAGAACAATAGAAAAAAATATGTACTTTAATACACCCGTTCGTTGACATTTTCCAACTTGTAATTCATATTTTCCATCTTGAAATTGATGCGCCCATGGTGGTTTGAACCAGAAAATTTTTGTCACATAACCACGATAAACAGCCGGAAATATCCAACAATGACTATTGATAGACCTAGAAGGAAAGAAACAAAACAGAATTACATACAAAGATTTTTGATTGTGAGTATTTGTGCATCTCTTACTCAATAAGATGATCTAATACTTTAATTTCATCAGCCGGAACATCTTTTGGTACTAATAGATCGGCAAATGCATCAAATCTTATTAATGCCACATCTTCACCACTCTGCAAATGTTTTCCTATGTCACGTATCAAAATCGGTAAAACCTAATAAATGAAATAAAAAACAATAATGGATTATATACAAAAAAAACACGAAGAAAAGATTTACTTCACTATTACGTTCAACAATTTCAATAATCAGTTTTTCTTCTTTAGCAACCATAATGATGTTAAAAAAATGTCATCTGAAAGTCATTTACGAATTGTTAATAGCACAGAATAGTGTAGCGTCTTACCAAGGATTGGTTCGTAAACGCCTTGCAAAATCTTATTGACGGTTCTTAATCTTCGATTATCAGAAAACATCACGAAAAGACGCTGACAAACTGTATGAATTCATTCGATTGGGTTTGTTCTTACCATACTATTTTTCTTCGGTATAAATCTCACAAAAAAATATCTGGATTGAATATAGATCTGTCTAGAGGTAAAATTTTAGAATACCTTTTTAATTCTGAGAATAACAAGTTCTTTACAAACAATCAAAAACAAATACAAAAAAATAGATGTAAGCAAAAAACGACGGCGCCATGTACTGTTCATTTATATTATCTGAGAATTTTTTTTGATATTTACAAAGCCGTTAATATACAAATAAACAATAAAGTCAAAACCCATCACACTCTGTAATAAGTGCGCGTTCTAATATAACTCGTCCTTCTTTATATCGTTGTAATTCTTCTGCAGCAAATTCATACATCCAACCGAGTTTTGTTTCACATTTTTTACATGCAACATCGCGAACAAAATGTCGTCCGGTAAGCATCATCTAAAGTAAAAGAAAAAAAACTCAGAAATCATAAAGTGAAGCAAAATACAATCTAATCTTACACGTTCTTGAACAGGAGAATTGTTAACATTCACAACATGAGAGAATAAAAATGCTCGTCCAGTAGTACCTGTGAACCTTGTTGAAACTAGTTCATTGCGATTTGTCAATGGAGTATCACAATTACCACATGAAAATACACGTTGACCACCTTAGAAAAACAAACATATTTTTAGAATTCTGAAATATTTTCTAATACTAAAAACTTACCTAAATGTTCAAGAAATACCCGACCCATCTTCACTCAAATGAATAAAAAATGTCGGTAGAATGAGACACAAACAATCTACAATAAAAATATACAATGAAAAGAAAAGTTTACTTTATTTTAAAATATATTTGTGCCAAAACCAGTCATCTAATTATGCCATTATTAAGTTATATTAGTGTTTTCTGGTTAATACATCGCAATAAAAAACACAGCAACCAAATTTTGTAAAGTACTGAATAAAATTCTAAAGAATTTGTTTTAGAAGACGCATAACACTGAAAGATAGTCAAAAACTAACACTGATGATTTTCACATGAAATCTACTAGGCTCGAAACGCGCACAACGTCTCAAAGTAATTTATTGCTGAGTTTTGTTTTAAAATGTATACTAGAGAGAAGATCATGAATAAAACATTAATTCAGTCAATTTTCAATGCCATATAAGCCATTGTGGTATTTACAGTACGATTTGGAAAATGAACTTGTGAAGGTAAATACTCGTATCAATACAAGGTATTTTGGATATACAATACATTACAATAATAATGACAAATAATGTGCAAAAATATACTCGTCTATTACTAGTTTATTAAAAGTAGTTGCTGATAGGCAGTAAAACAACTGTCATTGTGTATGCTTATTACACACTTGGTTATATACATAAGATATATATGTATATATTCATGCAATCGTTTATTTATCTTCTTGCACAGGATCTATGATTATTCAATGTATTTGTTTCTATTCAAATGATAAATTAGAGCAGATAGTTGAATAAAAAATCAACAGGCGCTGATGACAATGATTATTATTTACCATGCATGTTTGTTCGTTTAAACGAAAGTGTACGGGATAAAGAAGTAAATAAACCGAGTAGAAACCAGCGATTTCATAAGTTTAAATTCGAACTAAAATATTCGCCAAGTCTTGAAGAAGTGACATTGAGAATGTCTTATACTGCTTCAACTTTTGTTTATTGACTTTCGACAAATCTACCCGATATGTTCCTTCCTCATTGATGCCCGTAGGGCTGTAGGATGCACTTATCAAATACATTTAGTCATAGGAATGCTGGTCGTTTTATGAAAATACGCTGCACGTATCGATTTTGAGACAATAGCAATATACATTCGTTCACCGAAATTTTCGATAAAGAAGAGTTTCTAAACACGATCATGATGATGGGTAGATCAATCTGACTCGCAAGAACCTGACATAGACGGACAGCAAAGGAGGTTTAAGAAAACATATGCTAGTTGAACTAACAACCGCTTTTTAAATTACAAAGAAAAAAATACTTTCCATATAATTTGTTCACTTTCCTTATAATTTCCTTCTTTATCCTTTTTTTCTTTTACTTTTCCTTATTTTCCTTATAATTTGTTCCTTTGAGGCATAATAAGGTTTAGAGTGTAAATATTTCGTTATTTTGCGGGTTTCTGTCCGAACTTTGTCACTGTTATCAACGACTTTCAAAAAGTAAACAAATCACCAACGTAAGTCTTTTCGTAAGACGGTTCAAGTCCCGGAACTTAAGTTTCTTCATGAAACGATACGGAAAGTGTGAACTCAACTTCTGTGCAACCTTTTTTCTGCCAGAAATCACAGTTTTTATTTTGAGCCTAATTGAAACTATTGAAAGTCGAAGTGCAATAAAACGCTGGTAGTCTACGTCTAAAGCCTCATTCACACTTAAACCTATATTCAGTACAAGTTTTCAAATCTTATACCGAATGCACACCGTTTATTAAACTAGCTTCGTTGGTATTTTGCTAACTCAGTGATCAATTCAATTTAGAACACTCAGTTTACCACTCCTGTATTATTCAAAGAGATAGACCAACAAGCTCCTTAAATATCGTTCATACTGCATTCACATGCAAAAAAAAGAAAATGGCCTTCTCTCGAAAATGATCGTTCGATCTAGTTGACCGTGACTGAATTCGTTTCAGATCACTGCTTCATATAAAACCGCAAAAAAAGCGGTTAGTCTTGCGGTTAATTGGCGTTCACCTTGATCATTTAACGGCCGTTTAAGCAAGTGATACAGCCAGCCGAGTGTGTTTTTCAGCCAGTAGAATAGCAAACAAAGGATAGTGATCTGCTTTGCAGGCTGTCAAACCGCAAAAGTGAGTGGAATGTCCATCAGATTAGTGATTACAATGGACGTGGTTTTGTTAGGATAAAAACGAAGTCAAAATTTGACATGTGAACGAGGTTCAATATACATTTCAATATTTAGTTGAAACAAACAAGAGAAGGAAAATGTCTTTTCTACGAAACTACCATACAGAAAGTGCTGTGATTGTGCCTCTAAAGGATGGATAACAACAGCTTTATTTCTCTTTTGCCCATTTGAGGTCAAGACAACCTGGAATGACAACCACATAGTCGTAGACTGGGTGACGATAATCTACAATGAAAATCAGTCGCTAGTTTCCATGTGAGAGACGACAATAAGAGTTATTCATTGTTAGCATTGGAGTGGCAAGATCACCCATTCAATGACAATTGAATAAAAATTGTAAGTATTTCCTGTGAGGAGCTGAATAAGGTGTGCATTTTCGAAGGAGGGAAAAAGCTCATTATATTCATTTAAACTTCTCTATTCGGACTTGTTCTCGAAAACAAGAGTTTTCAAACCACTAGAATAGATGTCATACATATTCAGTACGGGCAATTCAATATGAGTTGAAAATGTTCAAAAATAATATTTTTCATATTGTTTATCCGGATAAACAGAATAAATTGATTGAGCTATTTCGGTATTGTAATCAAAGTCTGCGATTCGTTCTCTTGTACATATGTACGATTATTTGTAGGGCAGCGGTTTAAACTGAGATTAAACCCAAAGAATGTGATAAAGATCAGATTTCTTTCATTGAGCGTCATTGTCAATGTAAATCACATTGACATTCAATGAAGGAAATTCTAACGAATACTTATGTCGACTTTGGAATTCGCGACTTTGGCAGAATCCGTATAACCGTCCCGCCCTCTCACGCTGCAGCGTTCCCCACTATTATGAACCAAAGGGTAATTCTACATAACTCTTCTAGAATTCTTGTAGAATTGAACTAGAATCTGCCAGGTCGTAGGAAGAACACAGTTACTGCCACTCTACCAGAACTGAGTAAACTTTGTGTACTACGCAGCACCATTTCTTGAGTTGACCGAAGTGTAAAGAATTTCGAAACTTGACATTAATGACTAAACAAAGTCATTTTCCGAGAAAGTTGGTGGAGAAGCTAATTTTTAGAAGAACATCTCATAGAATGGTGCGTAATTTATCGCTTCCCATCCACATAAAAATATATCTCTATTGAATACAGAGAAAACACTATTTACCAAAAGAGATAAAAACGTTTTTTTTTGTATCGCTGGATAGGGTCTGCGCCTCATTCCTGGTTAATGTTAAATATGAAACTAACTTCTTTATATTGAAGCAATTACAGGATATGGAATACAAATAAACGAAATAAATCAATGAAACAATATGCACATGATGAGAGGACAACTCTAATGAAACTTCTAGTAACCAAGGTCTTGACTTCTTGAATTTTTGCAGTAAGATCTTGATAAGAAAATGTAAGAATTCCAGAAATTTGAAGAAGTCAAGATCTTGAGTGGAAGATTCAAGAATCCAAGTTCTAAAAATAACTATATTTTTCGATACAGAATATTAAAAAAAAGAATGATGTACATTCCATTTATTTATTATCAAGAAATATAATATAATAGCTCGTTGATTTGCAAAGGCGACTATGATGTTTTGACCACAAAACGGGATATATGTAGGTTTGTAGAGGAAGATTTCCTCTATCTAGTGGTGTATATATTATCAAATTCTGTTGCGTACCGTGAGAGAAAATTAAAGGTAACCCCTCTTTTTTTAGACTCTTTTAGAAATTTTTTTATTTTTGAGTTAAATGTTCTGCATTATAGAGTAAAGTGTCCTCTACAAAATAAGACCGCTTCCAGCTTTCCAAGACCTTCCGTTGAAGAGATACAAATTTTTTAAAGTTTGTTACTTTACGCTGAAAAAAACCTATTTTTTTACTTGCGGAACGTTTTTCTCTTCCATTCAGTAGTTGATAAACTTTTGAAACAGTCAGGCTTATAAAGTAAAGGCTTCTCTACAAAATGAGATGTCTCCCAGCTCTCCATTATGTTTTTTGATAGAGTTATGATCATTTTGGACGGTATCTCACAAATGTGACTTTTTCAAAGACTTCCAACAAAATGATCATAACTCTATCAGAAAACATGGTGAAAAGTTAGGATACATCTAATTTTGTGGGGAAATCTTTACTCTACCAGACTGACTGTTTCGAAAGTTTATCAAGTACTGAACGAAAGAGGAAAGAGTTTCGAAAGTAAGAAACTAGGGTTTTTTCAGAATAAAGTAACAAACTTTAAAAAATTTATATCTCCTCAGCGAAAGGTCTTAGAGAGCTGGAAGTGGTCTTGTTTTGATAATACAACAGACAGAAACAGAATTTGATAATATATATACCACTAGATAGAAGAAGTCTTCCTGTACAAACCTACATATATCCCGGTCTGGGGTCAAAAATTACCATGAAAGTCATAGTCGCCTTTAGCCTTTTTTGAAAAAAGTTTATACGATCGTTTTAATACTGAAAAAATAAGATTTAGATAGATATCATCAGTAACTAACTATTGATAAAAACATCACTTATAAAAGACAAAAAAACAGTTACATTCTTCAGTTTAAATATTACATTCTCTAAATTTCATCTTCTTGCCAAAAGGGGTATATAGACAAAATATATTCAAAATAATTGACCAACGAAACACAGGACTTTGATAACAGTAGGTATGATACACTCATCGGTACGTACGATACACAGACAGGAATGATACAGAATATATAATTAATCTTCAGTATTTTTATTAAGTAATTTCACTTTTTCCATTTGTTTGTCATGTATACGTGAAAGACATATTAATGAGATCACCGATCCAATTAGGCACATGAGCATATCGCTTTGAGTATCCCATACATCACCTTGAGAACCCAGAAAAGCATCAGCTGACTCTCCTGTAACACTTGCTACAAACCATTCTATCAATTCATAAACGGCAGAAAATGATAATGTTACTGATACACATATAAACGAGAGCCAATTTCGTTTTAAAACAATCTTTTGCCTATAAAATATTTCACGTACGATTAATACAGGAACAAAACCTTGTGCAAAATGTCCAACTTTATCGAAATTATTTCGTTTTAAATGGAACAGATTTCGTAGATAATCGAATAATGGTACCTCGGCGTAAGTATAATGACCACCGACAATGAGAACAGTACAATGTAAGAATACAAGTACGTAAAGTAAATTAGTAAATTTAAAAGTAGGATAAAAATAAATCAAAAGACCAACTCCAATTAGTGCTGGTAACACTTCTAAAAACCACACAAAATTGTTGTGAGGATTAATAGCAGAACGAATTAAAATTATGATGAATAATATCATCAATATTAAAACTAATCGACGAGAATTTTGAGGTAAAGAAAATATCGACATATCTAAAATTCATTAGGTGATTATTGATCGAATGAAAATTTAATGTTCTATGGCTATAATGAATAAATTCTCCAAGTTTTTGTAACGCAGACAGTTTCGAAAATAAACTAAAGACTACGAATAAATTGGAAAATGTTCATTTGTCTAGACTATTTTTTTCTTTGACGGTCTTTAATCAAAATAAAGGCAAGCATCATTATCTGTCCAGTAATAGAAATATTTCTTTCTTTAAAACATAAATGTCGGTAAAACGAGTGGCAAAACTTTGTCTAAAACATTTGTAATGTTTATATATTTATTCATTTTTTCATATTATCAGTTTTTATAGAAAAGAAAACAGATAAACAAATAAGCAGAGTGTGAGAAAGAGAAAAAGCGTAAACAATATTTTTTCAAAAATAGATAAAATTAAGACATATACACATACACAAAGATATAGATAAACTATATTGACAGATATTTAGAAATAGTAGAATCAAAGCATTTTCTTCTTTTTTCGAATGAAAAAAAAAGAAAAACAATGCACAACAAATTCTTCTACTAGTAAACAAGTTCATCTAGATATATACAAATATGCATTGATTTTTGTGAAAAATAAATATATAAAGTGCGTATGTGTGTGTGTAAACAAACATATATAGAAAAACATAAACAAACAAAAAACTAGCAATATAAAACAAATGATACATTGCGTCCTCAATTTTTTCTCACTGTATAGGTTTAAATACAAAAAAAAGAACTGTTCAACAAAAACTTGGATAACATTTTTAATTCTATGATGGTTATTCACGGTGTTTGAGAAAAACAAAGAGGTTAATAATAGACTAGTTACAACAACAAATCTCTAAACTGTTCAAACTGGTGTAATACAAATCATATATTCTCTCTCTCTCTGTGAATGTGTGTGTAAAGTTGAAGCAATAAAGGGAAACACGGACAGTTACCAAGTGGTTGAATGATGTTGTTGTGGAGGTTGAGAATGAAGTTGTTGATGATGAGTATGAAATGTTGTTGGAGTTGTGTACATATCACCGTCACTATGTGAACTATCGTCACCACTTTCCACAATTGACAATAGACCACTAACGTGAGCTGCGGCATTTATTAAATTGATTGAATTTGAAGACGATAATGATTTTGTATTAATAGTATTTGAATTACGTACTTTTTGATGCACTTTTCCATGTCGTTTTCGTTCATCGGATCGAGCAAAACGTCTACCACATGTATCACAGGAAAATGGTTTTTCTAAAGGAAAAAGTGACAGTTCATTTTTTATATTGTTTTCCATTCTCGAAAGGTTAATCTGTATCATAGTTAACTATGAATTCATTGGTGAGATAGATCATCTCTTAGGACATAAAATTAGGAAGTGGAATCATCATCAAATAAAACATTATTCACTTACCACCCGTATGTGTTCTAATGTGTGTTGTTAAATGATCTGAACGACTGAATGCTCTTGCACATATTTTACATTGAAATGGTTTATCTCCAGTATGTATTCGAATATGTCTCGTTAATTCATCCGATCGTGAGAATCGTCTTGGACATGCATCAACTGGACATGGAAACGGTCGTTCGTGTAACGGTGTTTTCGATGGTCTATTTGGATATTTTCGCGGCTTAGCAAATAAAAACGGTTGTAGTTGTTGTTGTCCACTATTAGCTATTGTGGTGGGTTTTGGTGGTTCAGATGAATAAATATTGGAATTTGATGATGAATATTCTTGTGGTTCTTCTTTAATAAGTGACTGTTGTTGATAAGATGGCGGATTCGAATTTGTCCAGTCTTGCTGTTGAGAAGAGGATGTTATAGTTATTGGCTGCTTAAGTGGATATGAGTTTGCATCTAATCTCAATGTCGCGAAATTTGTTTGTGGACGTAATGTAGATTTTGGTCTCACCATTATATCGTGATAAGAAGGAGGCTGTGATTGCTGCTGGTAATCTATATAAGTTGGATGTTGATCATTATTATAAGAGGAATAGACCGTTTCTGCTCGATCATGATGATGATTCATTGAGAGAGTCGTCGATGCCGTTGGGGGTGTTGTAGAAGATGTAGAATTATAAACGATGGAATGTGATGAGGATGACGGCGATGACGATACTGATGGAGGATTTTGACTAACAGAATCAAGTTCACCGTTCGTACGTTGATTATTAATTTGTTCTAAACAATAGGATGAGGGTGATAATGTACAATGAGTTTGTGTTGGAGATAAATGTTGACGTATTAGAATGTCTTCTGTTGGTTTTATTTCACTGGAATAAGACGATGATGTATGCCCGTTTAATGTTGTTGAATACGATGACTGTATGATAGTGGTCGATAATTGATCTTTTGGTTTCGGATGAATATGTGATAAATTCAAAGGAATATGACGCAGTGAAGACGATTGCTCATTAAATAATATTAAACTTTTTGGCAATTGCATATTCGATGAATCATGTGTTGTTGTATTCGATTCCACATTAGACGATGATGATGATGCAGAACTATTTGTTCCAGCACCAAGTTGTTTATTGTTTACTGTTATTGAAGAATCAATATCAACATTACCATTTGTTATTATTGTTGTAGATTGTGTTTCTTGTGATCCTAAAAGAAGAAACAATTTTGATAAAAGTCACATGAATAATGATTCTAAGTTCTCTACCATAATACGTCTTCCCTTTATTACGGCACACACGCAAGTAGTATGATCTTATTGTGACAAAGAAAGAGTGAGCATCTATATATACAGATCGATTAGTAGTTTTTGATGACAGTAACTTTTCACTTTTCAATAACCACCACTAAATTTTGATGAAAATGACAAATTTTCCGTTCACCATATTATTGATGATGACGTACACGGTTTGCATATATATATATATATATATATACACATATATACTACGACAAATATACTTGTCGTATATTTTCGTTTTTCGTCTTTTGTGCATTTCATTACCATATTTCTTTTTATTGTGTATATTATGTAGAGAAAAAGTAATATATTAAATAAAAAAAATCTTTTTTTCTGAGTTTTTAATATATATATATTATGTATATATATGTGTGAACATATGTAACATAATATCGAAAGAAAAAACAATTCTTACGATTATAGAATGTACAAAAGCTTCTATTGTCGAGCTTTATTAATAAAATAGTCAAAAACGATTATGATTTATCAGGTACGGCATATAGAACAAATTTACAGCTTCTACTCTCATCATTCATATTTATACTATTTTTGCTATGAGATTATCAAATTTGTTCCGTTCGAATTTTTGACTCAAAAAAATATACTGATTCTTTATCAAATCTAATTTTTAGTACAGTGATAATACGATTGTTGATCCTTCTTTAAACTACCAAGAAGACATATGATACATTTATTATATTTTATGAAACTGTTCATCATAAACCCCAGAGAACACAGTAATTGGAGTCTATAGTCGAAATCATTAGCTTTTGACTGATTCTGCCTTTCTCATTCTATCAGTAATAATTTCTTTGAAAATCAGTCATAAAGGACAGCAACCGTGGAGAAAAGTTTGGAGTCAAAGAGCTTGAGAGATATCGTTGTATAGGCTTGACATGAATACTTATTGTGCTTTACTTGGTTTACCTTCGAACGTGAGTACTTTTTACTTCATAGTTTCAATAAAAACTCATGATCCATTGAAAAAAATTTAGGAACTGCATTTAACTATTGCATCTAACTTTATGCCATTATAACATCAAAGGATTTTCACTATTTGACTGTACACCAGCTGTAGAACACAACAACAACATCAACTGTTACTTGGATTGTTTGCCTCTGCCAGTGAACAGAGAACATAAAAAACATACCATTGTGAGAATATAATATTTTTTAAGCAGATTCTAGACTATTTAACGGATTTTTTACGAATGAGTTTTTTGCCGCTATCGTAAAATATGCATTTATCTCTTCAATCGACTCTAAAAATATTGTTATGCAGATTGAAATCTATATGACCACTGACTACATTTTAACATGCATTTGACATGTTCTACTTGAGTACTACTTGAGCGATAGACATATGGTTCTCTCATAGATCAGTGTTGCTTTGACCTACAGTTAGTGTACAGCCAAATAAAGAAAATCTTTTGATAACGTATAGTTAACGGTAGTTTTCGTTCCTAAATTTTCAATAAGTCATGAGTTTTTAATGAAAGCGTATATAAAGAACAACAGTTGACCGCATAGTAGATTTTTCGATATCACTCTTTTTCAGTTTCCTATTTTGCATTCACAATCCGCTTCCGTTCATAATTTTGTTATAGTTCTATTAGCTGAGACATTCACGAAATTTTGCATCAGATATGTTACTTCGGACCGAAATATTTTCTTTTTACTATTTTCTTTATTTTTTTAATAAAATCAAGTTTTGCATAAGTCGAAAGTTAATACGTGTATCCTTGATAATTACAATGTTTAACTATTCAGCGATGACTTTTATATGACTAATCATACACGACTATTCTAACATGTTTTTATTTTTCTAAAAGCGATTCAAATACTATCGGAAATGTTTAAAGACATCCATGAATCTAAACTATAACTTCAAAGACTTCAATACTATCTGATTACTTTACACTAATATTTGTCAAAATAGAATAGATAATTTTCTTACTCTATCTTCACTAAATACTTTAAATATTCATAATGATTTAGATATAAAACCTTTTATGACTTTAACATTTTATTCATAGTATGTATATTATACAATTATTAAAAGATGTAGTAAAACAAAATTTGTTTTGTTATGATAACTTTCAATCACATATAAACACGTAACCTTGGGTATGATTCAAAAAATAAATCTTTCTTGCATACACATATTGTGATTTTGGCCTATTTCGAGCAACAGTTTCAACATGTCATGTTATTTCAACATAGAAACTTCCATAAAAACATGCTTTCTATTTCAGCCATGTCAAGCTGAAAGTCTGTTACCTATATTCTCAGATTTTGATAAAAATTTTCGAGAATTTTATCCATATTCATTGAGAATATCTTCGAAATTTCATATCGATATTCTTTTTGATTATTGGAATAGACGGGCAATATCAATCACAATGTTCACGTGAAATCATCAAAAAGCTCTCCTTGAAAAAACGACATTTTCTGGCAACTAGACCAAATTAAGTCATGACATTTTTAGTATAATTATATTTAAATCTCTTCTTCATTTCTGACTACTTAATATTCATTTAAATTTCGAAAACGTTTTTTCAAGGCTAACCTCTATAACTCTGGATCTTGTCACTAAAACATAAAGTTTTCTCAAAAATGCTGGATATATTTTTCTTCTACAAACACAAGTTTTTTTTATAGATACTTTCTAAGGTCTTTTGTCTTCATATAATAAAGGTATTTCATAAAATTCTACAATAAATTTGAATACTGCTCAGCATATGAATTGCAAATATTGAGAAGTTTCTTAAGACGTGATCTTAACCCGACAGAATAGACTCTGTCAAAGGGAAGGATCTATCCATTCTCTTTTAAAACAAATAAAAACTATCTACTTACCTGCATAGTGCCAATATGAAGTTTAATTTTACGAGATATGTATCTAATTTTATATTATTGCACGTCCTATTCTTACGGTAAACGATTTTTTTTTTAAGGAGAGAAGAATAATAAGAACAAGAAGAAAAAACAAAAAAGAGAAGAATAAGAAAGAGTAATTTGTACAGTTTTCTTTTTTCTATACACCTAACGGAAATCAAACTGAATGAATAATCAACCAGAGACTCTGATTATTAGTATAATGATGGATAATGATAACGAAAAGAATAAGAATAAGAAATCGAACAAAAGAACCGAAAGATTTAAACTAAACGTTTTTTCTTTGAAACATTTGAACTGTAAGAAGAGAGAGAATTTGTTAAATTTGCGTATTTGAATATGTATCTTTTTTTTCTTCTTCTAAACGTCAATTACAACATCGCTGTCCTCGTGTGATAAGCGCATGTCAACAACGCGAAGCTCATTGCAAACACGCCCTTTTCATTCTTGATTACACACACACACATATTTCTATGTATATATTTTTATTCGTTCGTGCGTTCATCGAAGAAAAAACTTCGGGATTTATTATGTACAATAACAACAAAAAAAATCAAGTTCGAGAATGTTTTTAGTTTAAATCTATTGTATTTAGAAGAATAATTAAATGTCTTAAAAAATCATTGGGACTTTTTTTGATAAATTATCCACACTCGCTGATATTATCAATCTAAGTTACTTTATATACTAACATCAAATAACGTCCATTCCAAGTGATAATGACTATTGCTATTCCACTCATTTTTACAGACAAATTTACAGCTGTTTAGTTTCTGATTTTGAATAAAGTATGATTAAATTTTAATCCGTCTAATTTTTAATATGTTTTTCTTTTAATGTATCATAAAAATATATTTTATTCCATTATACATAATTTTACAAGTGTTATTTCACTGCTTAAATGGCTATATATTTCTATGTTTATTCAAATAGACAAATATATATATTAAATTTGTTGTTATTTCTCTAGACACCTGTTCTAAAAAAAACGACAGATGATTATTGTCATCATCTATTTCTATATATCGGTGACAAATATTAGATCGTTAATCGATCAAAAAGAAAAGAAGAGAGAGAGAGAGAGAGAGAGAGAGAGAGAGAGAGACAGTTGACATATAAAAATAAATATTGTTACTTCTTTTACACAATTATATACCAGTTTTCTTTACTTTTCAAATACTAACGAGTATTAAAATTTGATGAAAAAAATAAATTGTTAAATAATACAAGAACAAATATTTCCTATATAATATTACAATTAGCTAGGACAATAAAGAGATGAAGATAGAGAGAGCAAATAATAACTTTAAAGCGTTTTTTTAATGAACACGTGTGTTTATGGGAAACATATCGATCCTACTTAATAGACATGTAAATATTTTTCTTTTGAATTGTTTATGCGTTCTACAGCGGTATTAGAAGCAGTACCCGGAATTTAATATAGAACTAAGCACAAATGAATGAAAAAGAAATATCGATTAAAGATAGTTTTATCAAAGTTACTAATATCTTTGTACAAGCAAAAGAAAGATACTTTTTTGACGAATATATGAATTTTTTCACACAAAGTTCAATCAATGTTAAGTTTTTAACCTTCAAAGGTAAGAATTAATACAAAATAATAACTTAGTTCATAACTTGCACATATCTACCAATGACATTTGATTAGTAAAACCTGACACTCTTCAACTGTGAAAAACGACATTTTGTATGATTTTGAATTAGTGGAATAATAATTTTAGAAGTATTTTCCTGTCGATCAATGGATAAGGTTAAGATAAAGGGAATAAGTGTTAAACAGATAAATTTAAAAATATTCTTAAAATTTTTTCTTTCTACATAAATACGTACGTATTTTATTGCAAAAATTTTAAGATATATAATTTTCTTTTTAAAAAACAAAGAACGTGTATTTTGTTAGTTTCATATGTCTCTTTTATGTATGTAGACCGTAATCATATTAACTACAAGGTTTTTAGAAGAATGTTTTCTTTTTTTTTTTTGTTATCAGACAGTTTATAGAGATAAATAAGTTTCTTAACAAGTTACAGACACATTGTACATGTGTGTGTGTGTGTTGCTGCACGATAGGACAAAATACGCATAGATAAAATGTTTTTTTTTTTTTTTTGTTGGTGACATTTTATTAGTACTATTGTTTACCTCTAGCCTTTAGTTTTGGCCTTGCTTATATTTTGTTAAAAAGTCTCTATTTTTCTCATTTGAACTAATATAATGATCACCTTTTTTCATAAAATGATACAAGTGTACAATTGAAATTAAAAATACTTTAATTTTGTCGAAAGAAAGAAAACTTGGAAAGTCATTCGGTCTAATGGATGCTCGATATTGACATACCATAAAACTCTTTATCATGTTAACGACTACTTTATTAGATATGCATCTAATGTTTGTATTAGGTATGTTAATCATGTTGATTTCACATCGCATGTATTCTGCATTTTTTTTTTCCTTCTCTGAATGTTACTTATTAAATGCAATATAATCCATGCAAAATCCTTCTCTCTTTGTAACGCCCTGTTGAGCGAAACAATAGACACAAATAATAATAAACTTAAAATTGGTAAACTATTTTAATTTTTACGACAGAACATGTGTTTCAGAATTCATTGTTCTCTCTGTAAAAAAAAAAAGACCCATTAAAAAAATCGAGAATTGGATAGACTAATAAAAATCAAGATCTTTAGTTTTGGTCTTTTGGATATATTAAAACTCTAGAAACAAACGTGTCGTTTCTACGGACACTATCAATAGCAGTTTCAAGTAATTGTTTAATTTAATTTACTGGATACTCAAATGAAAAAGTTGAAAGACATCAAGTTGGTTTCAAAGAAATGAAAATGTGTACGTTTTTCATGTACTCGCGCATATCCTCATAAGGCATCATACAACCAATAGAGAGAATGTGAAAAATTTCATACTGTGATGAGTTATTCTAAAAAATAGTAAAACAATAAATAATCAGAAGCAAAAAAAATTTCGAATAATGTAGAGTAGAGTTTTGAACATTTTTTCCGGATTTGAATGTTATTATTCGAATAAACTAAACTAATTAATTATTAACTTTTGTAGAGAAATATTTTTCTCTTCAAAATGAGAGATCTTCAGGAGTAAATAAAATTGCAATTCCACTATCAAGCAGGAAGCCTTCACTTTAGAACGGCTTCGGTTTAAAATTAGCACTTCTTAAACATCTCATATTGAAGAGAAAACATCTTTCTATAAAAATGAACGAGTTAGAAATTCTTTATAATTTTAATTCAGGTTATTGCTGTAACAATGCTAAAATCTGAAGAAAAAATCCAATGTGAAGTTATTGAATAGAAGTTAGTAGTAGATCGAGAAAAAACGTTAATAATATAGTGAAACTTTAAATTACCGAATAATTCACAACTAGTGAGAGTTCCTACTTAAAATGATTTCACATCACATCCGAAGCAAATAAGAATGCGTATATTTTTAACAATATTCGTACTCATCATTTTGTACTGTAGAGATCGTTAAAAATAGAATTGGTTCTCTCTGTCCGAAAGTGTTTTTTATTTTTTTTTTGGAGACCAAAGGGAGATTCCAAATATTTTCTTGATAACGAGACAATCGTCTTCTCTACAGAATCGCCAATCTTTTTCTTTTGATTATGTTACTGTTTATAACAATAACAACAACTTAGTTGTTTTCATTCAAGGTAAAAACACCAGTACACGTGTTTCTTTATGGAGAAACACGCGTGCGTCCCACTTAACTCAATATAATATCTTTACAATAATTATAGTGAGAAGAACATTTTTTTCATTTCATGTTGATTGACAAGTATAATTATTAAAAATTATTTAGATCGATGAATGAAAAGGAAAATTTAATAATATAGTTGTATGTTTAACACTAGCAGAACCTTGAGAAATGCTAATGCAACAACAACAATAAAAGTATTAATAAAAAAAAAGAGTTTGATAACCAATCGTGAGATAATGATACTTCTGAAAATATGAATTTGTATTCTTAATAATACCGGATGTTTCTACTTCTACTCAACGTAGTCTTTCAATAACTATATATTAAATTTCGCGTTTTCTTCTTTTTTTTTTTTGTAAAAGACTTTTTTTTTCTTCATAAATCAAATTTCAAAAATTCAACAATGTCAAATTAGTACAAACCATCAATCAATGGAAACAATTTATTAGCAATCTGATAGCACTGACGTACACATACTCACTACTCATCTACTCACCAACGGTAATATATATGAAAAAATATTTATTGGAAAATTTATGTAAGGTAGACGTAGGTGGTGTAAAAGGCTTCATGAAAATTATAGGTGTATTTCACAAGGGTCATCGATGAAAAAAGTTATCGCGACTTTTGTGTTTAATTAGTAGACCATTTCTAAAATTAGATTTCAGAAATAAGAAGACAGGGAAGTTGTAGAAATTTTATCTATTAAAATATTCAAGCAATTTTAAATTGTTGGCTCAAGTCAGATTTTTGATAGTGTAAGTCATTGTCTAAACTAATCCAGAAATAATAGAATTTTCTGAAATATAGCATTTTTTGAAAGGTTGCTTTTAACAAGAAAGTAAAAATAAAACCCTATTCAAAATACCATTGATAGTGTCATCATTTTTAATTTTTCAAATAATCTATACAAAAGAAATGATTTTTTTTTAAACTATTTTTTAATATGACACATAATCTGTTATAATTAATTGAGTATTTTCACCCAAGACAAAACATTTTCAAAAAATTAACATTTTATTCACTATATAATTGTTCTAAAGTAGGATATATATATATATATACTAATGCTTTATAAGTTTCATCTGTTTGTCATATGTTGATTTCAAGCACAGAAAGTGATTCAGTTACCTACCGCATTCACACACAGTCTGATTCTAACTCTGAATTTGAAAAATTATTTTCTAGCTTTGAAACATCAACTGTGATAATAAATAAGAAGATGTCACTCTTCCTGATTATCAAGAGAAAACACAGAAAAACAAATATATATATCGACGCTATGAGAACATTTTTAGTTGTGTTCTAAGTGGCGTTTTTTTCTTTTACAAATATTTCTCTGGAATCCACGATCCAATCAGATACATTTATAAATAAACGACATGGTCAATTATTCCTATAATCATCTCTCATTAATATTCAATAATTTTAGTCATTATCAACGAATAACATTAATTTTTTGTTTTATTAAAATATTTTCAAATATATGAAATACGAACAAACTAACCTGTAATGGTAGGTGTATTAATTGGAGGTATATCATAGAAAAATGTACTATTTTTTGTACATGTATTTGGAGTATTTAAAACACATGGTGTTGTTGGTTCTTGTGCATTTAATTTTTCATTAATATTACCCAACATCATTGTTGTATCATTTAGATCGTCTGATATTAATGATGGATCTTTGAATGTTGTTTTTAAATGACTCATGATAATTGTAATTATAAATCATAATATTACCTTTGTGTACCAGTAACGTAGAAAATTTTTTGTCGTTCTTTTAGCTAACGATTAATAAAACTCATATATTTAAAAACCAAAATTAAGAAAAATACAATAAGATTATTTTTAAAGTTTATTAATGACAAACAAAAAAATATTTTTTGAATAGGGTTTTATTTTTACTTTCTTGTTAAAAGCAACCTTTCAAAAAATGCTATATTTCAGAAAATTCTATTATTTCTGGATTAGTTTAGACAATGACTT